GCCCAGCCCATGCCTGGTCACTCACTGACTGAGCCATGTGGGAGTGGGGTGGCCTGGGGAGAGAACGCTGTGACCAGGTGGTGGCCCGTCCTCAGCTGCCACAGGAGGAGAACTCGGGTACCAGGCTCCTCTCCAGCAGAAGGTCTGAGCTGAAACTGCTGCACGGTGCGCCTCTCATCACAGCGCAACCACAGAGAAGCTGAAATGTGGGCGTTCTCTCCTCTGTGACAAGGCAGCTCTCAGGGACTCCAAGGGCCACTCCTGAGGCAGACTGACTCAGACGGGACATCCATCCACTAAAACTTCCTGCTCCTCCCCAGCAACGTGCATTCCATGAAGCAGCTGGTCAGAATTTATTTTTCATCCCTTCTTTTTCAGTTGTGTTTGGTCAAGTACCTATCCAAATAACAAAAGCCTGTATTGTCTCTAAAAAAAGGAATCTGATACAAACTCTTTGCTGATGTTAAGTCAAGGAGATTCTAGGCCAGAGGTACATTCTTGGGTCAATGCTAGGGAATGACATCATAAAAAGAGTGGTGACTATCAGCAAAATCACACAGACCTGCTCCCCTCTGCACTCGCCTAAATGCTTGAAAACAGACATTCTATCGTTAAAAAAAAGTTAATTACTGCTGACCAGAACGCTCATGACAATTGTCCTAATTAGGTCTGGAAGATGGTGGTCAGAGAATGGAACCCCTACCGGTTTTCTGCACCTGCAGCTCCCTCTTGGCTTGTTCCAGGATGGACTTGATTGCTTCATCGGACCCGGTCTCTGAGGCTCGGATCCGGGTGGTGATGTTACCTGCAGGGAGAAGCCACAGCAACAACATCAAACCCACAGCTGGAACGAAAATCAATGCTGCACAAAGACGTCACTCTGATAAATAGCTCCTGAGGTGAGGCCGGTGACGGTAAGCAGGCAGGCATGGCCTCCCATCTACCTGCACCTGCCTGCGGGCAACTTGACAGCAGGTACCGTGACCCCGGGCAGGAAGGGCTTCCTGCGGAAGCTACCTGGCGTTAAATGTTATTTGGCCAGTGGGACAAGCTCTCATGTTACCCAGGCTGGACATCACCCATGGGTTGGGACCAGGGAGAGCAAACCATTTAATCCAGTGTAAGAGGAGACGAAGGATTAAAAGGCAATGCTTTTCGTGAGTCATTTAAAAGCAACTCCAACAGCTGCTTTGGCTTGGGACTATGTTCAACATTCTGTATGTGTATTTCAGGCTGGTGTCCCCAAAAAGGAAAAGCAGGAGAGGAGGGTGAAGGGTTGAAGCTCATTATCTATCAATCATTTGGATGTTCCAGGGGAACAGGCTGAAGGCTTAACCTAAAATTTTCAGATCTATTATCACATACTGTCTTTTAAAAATTTATGAACGAAGAGAGAAGCCTGCAGACATCCCTAAAGGACGAGAATTCAGTCTTTCGGTCACATGGTGACGCTTTGCAGAGTAGCCACACGTACGGATGCACTGAAGCTACTACCGCCTGGGGGCTGGCTCCAGTTCTTTCTGGAAGCCATCCACATATTTCCATTTTTCCCTACCTTACTAAATAGGAACCACCACACCAAACCATTTACAAACAAGCACACCACCAGGAGGAAGCCCCACAAGAGACGCGACTCCAAGGAGTGCAGCGGGGGTGGCTCACCGGGGCCCACGGGAGGGCCCACTGCACTCGGGATCAGTCCACTCTGTAGCACCTTTAACGGATTTCAGAGTTAAAAGGAAGTACAAGGAAGCAGCAGGACATCACTGGACTCAGTCACCTGATTTTTCTCAGAGCAACAATTGTTATCCTCTCACCTGCTTCTGAGAAAACGGGGGAGGCGGAATTTGAATCTGAAGGGGCTGGGATTCATACTGGGGACTCATTCTTAGGGTGCAGCCCTCTTCTCACTTCCTCTGTGCTCACTCAGTAGAGCGCAGGCAGCTCAGGAGGAAGGGGCTGTGCGAACTTGAACCCGTGCTTTGTTTTATACTTACTAGCTCTGTTTTTCCATCAGGTTCCAGGCCAGAATCACACTGCACAGTTTTAACCCAAATACACAGCTAAGGACATGCTGCTTCCTATGCGACTAACTGCAAAGAGAACCCCCTGCCTGCGACATACCTTCAGACCCATTTCTTCGTTTCGGTACTTCCTGAAATAGTCTGTTCAGGCTCTGGCCTGGATTCTCTGTTGAAAAACAAGTGTGGTAAGAACAAAACAATCAGGGGATGGTGGTGTTGACGATATGGGCTGCGTGACATGAAATCTGAGCCACCTGTCACTACAGAAAGGGCTCAGGGCTTCCTGTGCAACTTGGGAACTACTAGAAACTTCTGAGAGGCCCTTCCCTGGCTGACCGGCCTGCAGAGGCCATGACTCTGCTGCAAAACCAGATCAGATAGACTCAAGGAGCGGCCTCGGGCACCAATGCCACGAGGGTCAAAGGGAGGGAGCACAGCTGCCAAGCGAGTCGCCCCCTAGCCCCGGAAGGAAGCTCACATTAATCACCCGAGGACAGTCCATTTCAGGGAGGCTCGCCATGAAAAGCTCGATGAGCTTTGTGCAAACTGATGCTGTTCACAACGTCTCCCTTTTCCATTTGAGTCTAAATTTCAGGGTATTTCAAATGTGTCTGATAAGACTACCTCTCTCTGTCTCTGTTGATGTAGCAGAATGGTCCCCTGTTGCGAAAGACGGAAGGAATCCTTTCAATTAGGGATGTGACTGACTTTTTATCTTTTTATGGAGGGTGGGGCAGGAAGGGTGTTTTAATAAACTTTCTTGCCTTTTACTCAAGGCAGGGGTGTTTTGCTCCAGACTCTAAACAAATCACTAACAGAACACCAACACTGGGAGGGAGCTGACCGCAGGACACACTCCCTCCTGTGCAGTGGGGAGAGGAGAGGACGCGTGGACGGGACGCTCTCCCCAGGGAACCAGCTCTGTGTGAGGACTAACTCACTGAGGCTGTTGTTCTAGGGCGGGATGGTACCCAGGGCTCCTCCCCACGTGAGATCAGCACCCACGGGCAATCGGACCACTGGACGCTAGACACGTCGGGACGTTGTACGTAATGTAATTCCCTCCGATTCAATATACAGTATTGAAATACTGGGTTTACTACTCGAGGTGCTGAGCGAGTTCAGAGGCCAGATGTCCCAAATCTACAGCTTTAGCTCATGCCGGTTGGCCCCTGAATTCTGGAAACAGCAGAACTGAAGAGCATTTTACCTGATGTGATGCACAAATGTTTCATCACACACACACACACACACACACTCTGTGACGGGCTCACGCACTGGCACCCACCCACGAAAGTCTCTCACCTCTCTGTCTGCCTTGGATGCTGCGCAGGGCCAAGATATTCTGCTCGTCCGAGAGGAACTGCTTCATCTTGTGAAAGGGCTCCTTGCCGCGAACGGTCAGTTTATTCCATGGCTTGGGCCGGGCCAGAATCTCGCTCACGGACCCTTGAGACAGTCCCAAGACATAATGTCCGAAAATGCGCTGTCCGATATTGTGCTTGATCAACTGCTCTTTCACCTGCCGGGCGATTTCTGCAGTGTCTATCTCCTCGCCCTCGGAGACGCTCCCAGCACTTTCTGACTGGCTGGGAGACGGGGCCATGCCATTTACATCTGGGCTTTGTTGTAATGTACTTGGGGAAGATATGGAGTTTGTGCTGTATGGACCTGTTGAAAAAATCATGCTTGTGCTTCCTGCTTCCTGCATGGCCTTGGAGTAGAAGGACTGCATTAGCTGTCGTTGGAGGAGAGAGTTTAGTGCAAATTTTCCCGTAGAAGCCAGGGGTAGGCTGGGGCTTGCCAGGGATGAGCTGAAAAAGTCTTGAGTTAACCCCGCTGGTGAGAACTGGTGTGTACCATTAGTATTGGAAGCCTGCTCCCCCGTGTTGCGGGGCAACTGAGAAGGAGGGGAGGCCGGCAAAGGTCCAGGACGCCGACTCTCAGGCTGGTCTTTCCCTTTTCTCCTGGCTGACCCTACAAGGAAGGGCAAACATAATGCATTATGGGGGATTCAAAAGGGAAAAAAAACCAAGACCAAAATGCAAAGTTTGCCCCACAAAAGGGAAAAAAAAAGTGCAGATTTTACAAGGGCCAATGAGGTGTGTTGGTTTGTTTTTCAATTGAATTTTTAAATCAGCCAAACGAGGCCCCCCGAAACGAGCAACATGCATTTCATGTTTGCGCCTTTCTTGTACGTTGCAGCCTGGAGAGTCCCCTTGACATAGATTCAAACTCCTACAGCGACAAGGAGCCGGTACCACACACAGTAAAGAGTTGACAGGTCGCGGGCCTTTTATTGGGCCTCTGGCCTTCGAGCTACGACCAGAAGGGCCCCACCTGAGAAGCAGCAAACACTGACATTTTGGGACCAACGGATTCGCTCACACCACTTGCTCTGAGGCGAATGCACGGCACTGAGTCCACGCGATCGAAGGCACGCACATGTTAAGAATGAATTATCATCGGAGCCCGAGACACTTTAAACGGTTTACCAGCTGCCAAACCCAGAAGTAGTCAGTGACGCCACCATTTTGGGATGAGCAAAGAAAGGCTAAGGGTGGGGGATGCGCTCCCAAGGAAAACCTGACAAAGGAAAAAGAGCTCCACTGAGCCTGGAAGGGCAGGGCCGCCCTGTCAGCAGCCCCCGAGACACCACGAGAGAGGCCGCACGACTAGGAAAAGATCAGAGAAGCCGACACCCTCGCGTCCCTCCTAGGATCGCCTGCGACACTGGCCTAACTGACCTCCGCAGACGCCCTGCGGCCACACGTCTCATCTTGACCGTCTTTGAGGGTGGGGGAGGGGGAGGGGAGGAGCAGTGAGGAGGACGAGGAGGACACCAAACACTCATTAGCCAAGGCTCTCATCAGCTGCTGATGCTCCCCTCATGCACTGGCCCAGACTCACGGTCCACCTTCCGCTTCCTCAACCCCCGGAAGGGACCAAGCACGGCCCGAGACCCTGTCAACCTACCGCTCAGGTCGCTGTTGGAGCTGCGCAGCGCGGCGTTCTCGGACTGCAGCGAGCGGTTCCTCTCCAGCAGCAGCACCGCCAGGGGCTGGGATGTGTCCTAGACGGGGCAGAGCAGGGCTCACTGCCGGGCCCCGGGGCTGCCAGAGCCCGCCACCCCTGCTCTCGGGCACGCTACAGAAATCTGATTTCCCCCGAAAACGCTCAGCGTGCATGTGGAAAACACTTAAGTTCCTTTCCAAAAGAATTCATTTCATTTGAAGTAGTTTTTCTTCTTCTAGACTTGCACAGCTTCTAGACAACTAATTATTCTCTACTCTGTCCCCAAATTCAAGCAGTCTAAACCTATGTCTCATGTGGCAATAGGACTGGCTGTCGAGCTGCAAACCCATCAGAAAGTCATTTTAAGTGGAACCCTTCTTTTGGTGCCAGCCACAGTCAGCTGCCTTCTGGGCAGCAGGAGCAGGATTCCATCTAATGACTTACATTTTAATTGGCCACCAGGTTACCAGGTGCCACTGTCATCTTGCCCCTGTTCCTTCTTCAGGTGAGGCAGTAGATAATAAAATTTTCTAAGCCAGTCCATTTGGGCTGATCCTTAACACAATCTGAATTGTTTTTATCCATGTTCTGAGTACCTGCCAAGTTAAACCTCAATTTCACTTGAATTGAGTTAACAGTTTGGAAAACACAGACTTTTCTCTTCTTGCCTGTTTTTTTTTTTTTTTTTAGTGAGGAAGATCAGCCCTGAGCTAACATCTGTTGCCAATCCTCCTCTTTTTGCTGAGGAAGATTGGCCCTGGGCTAACATCCGTGCCCATCTTCCTCTACTTTATAGGGGACGCCCCCACAGCATGGTTTGACAAGCAGTGCGTCGGTCTGTGCCCAGGATCCAAACCTGCAAACCCTGGGCCGCTGAAGCAGAGCGCACGAACTTAACCGCTACGCCACCGGGCCGGCCCCCTAGATCTTTTTAATTAAAGATAATTTGCTTTAACTTGGTTAAACCTTCTTGAGGAATTACTCATCAGCTGTAGGCGAGGTCTCATAGAAATATGGAGATGGTGAAGCTCGCCCAGGGATGAACAGTGATGGCAATGATGCTGAGGCTGACACACACTAAAAGCAAAGTGAGTCCGTGTACCTGTGTCCCAGCTCCCTCGGACGGTGTGAACTCCATGGATTTCAGGATACTGTGAAGAGTAAGGCAGAGTGGTTATTCCCTACTCTAGCTTTGATTAACAGCCACACTAATGAGCATGAACGTCATAATTTCCTGCTCTCCAGGAACTGAGGAACTGACAACTTGAACAACTTCCCTGGCGGCACCATAATCTGATGGAGTCTCTAGAATAACTATTCAACTAGCAGTTGGCCAGCAAAAGTTTCTTGCCCAGCATGTAAATCATTCCATATGGAATCACACCAGGTCTGTTCAGAGTATAATTTTAAAGTTTAACACAGACATAACATTGTTGCAAGTGGAATGTATTTGTGAAGCTTAGAGGGAATGAAAAAGTTGCCACAAGGAAGCCAGAGAGAGAAGCCTCATCACCCTCCTGGGGGCCTGCCCACTAGCTCAGGTGACAGCTGACACCTGGGCACCAGGGGCAGGCCTTGTCTGCAGCCACGGGGGGAGGGGGAGGAGGGCCGTGGAGAGCTAGGGGAGGGCACGACTGCTCCTCCTCTATTCTCCTTATCGCTGAAATCAGTTCAGACTCTGGCCTGTCTCAACAAGTCCAAGTGGAGTGAGTTCAGGCGCCCAGAACGGCTGTTTCCAGCGTTTCTTTCACGTGGACCTTCCTTCTGTCTGTGAATCTAACGGGAGGAAAGGGCCAGTGAGTCCCCGTGGCCCGGAGTGGCTGGGGTGCTCCCTGCACATGAGGGAAGGGGAGAATGAGAGCGGGCACCTGTGCTCTCCCAGCATTCTCGCAGCTGTGACCTTAGCCTCTGCCCTCTTCAGGCTCCACAGAAGTGCCAGCAAGAGATCACAGTGTGTAAAAATGCCCAGGGCCCCGGGAGCTCACTCTCTGCCTCGGCCACCACAAGGTTCAGTAAGGAGCTGGCTGCTCTTAGTTTCTCTGTGGTTCTATCTTTGTTGTGGCCCTTGTCATGTAAAACAACAAAACAGGAATGAAGAGGAGCTAATGGAGGTAAATGATGTAGTTTTATTTTATAGTGAGCTATTAGAGATACTAAAAGACCTCTGGGCCCCATCGCATCAGGCAGGAGAGAAGTGGCAAGCAGCCTGGAACTTGTCCTTTCTTAGTGGCTGTCACAGGTTTGCAAGTATATTCTTGTCTGAGATCTTCTTTAGGATCATGTAAGAAAAGACTGAGTCTATGAGGTCACACTAAAAACACCTGTGGTCTCTTCATTGCTTCAACAGATATTTACTGACGACCTATTAAGCGCCAGGCACTGTGGAGGATGAGAACCACTCTGCCTCACCCTCACGAGCTCTACGGGCTGTTACATAGAAGAGAAACTCTAAATAGCACGTGAAAGAGGAAACCTAGTGGGGGCCCTCGGCAGGAGGGACCTCGTGGGGCTGGAGATGGGGCCTGTGTCATGAGGAGTTAGTGTCTGAGAGGGGCCTTGAAGGAGCAGGATGCTTTATGGACCACTGAGGGGGGCAGGGACCCCAGGGCAGAGATGGGACGGCAGCGTGGGTGTGTGTCCAAGGGGGCACTTGGATCACTAGGAAGGAGGAGGCCAGGGACACATTTTATCAGAAAAGCCACCCAAGTGGCACTTTTAGACACTACGTCGTGGTGGGGGCTGCGGTGCAGATGAAACAGAAAGGCCCTGTTCTGGGAGGAGGGCGTGGGCCAGCAAGACGCTGGGCCGGCAGGAGGGCAGGAGGGAACAGACGAGGCACACGTTGCAGGGCCAAGTCAAGAAGTCTTGGTTCTGGGGGACCGGAGGTGAGCTCAGAGGAGGCACGGGACTGACTTCAGCCTGGGACGGGAGGGGACCTGGGCGAAGGCCTTCACGTTTCTCTGATTTAACACTAGCAGAAGGTGCACATTTTTTTTCTTTTGAGGGGGTTAGAATAGGGAGAGGAAGGACAGACTGGCACAGGGGGCAGGCACTGAGGGTCAACCAGGCACAGATACACACCCCTAAGTAGGAAATGGGGGGAGTACAGAGCTTGAGGAGGCTGGACCTGCTGAGAGGTCCAGGAGGGGTCATCCAAGGGGGTGCTGGTAGGGCTGCCTGTGGCCAGAGGGGGTGAGATGCTTGGGGAGCGATCACAGTGGGCCCAGGACTGAGGGGAGCCACTTCGCCAGGGAGGCTGGAGGAGGTGACAACCAAGGGATGGCTACTGGATGTGGCAGGGAGAAGGTCGAAGAGGCCTTCCGATGGGCTTTTTCAGCAAACCCGAGGGAATGGAATTAAGAATATAAAGATAGCATGGCGAGTGGGTGTAGGCTTATTTTAAAAGGAGAAATTAAAAATGTCAGCAAGAAAGAAAGGAGCCGATGGAATAGCAGGGAGGAGTAGGAAGGAAGGGACTCAAGGTCCAGGCGAGGGGGTCGGCCTGGAGAGACAGGAGAGAGAAGCCGCGACCAGAGGAGCGATGTCCAGGCAAAGGGGGAGCCAGGGGACGTGACTGTCTCCTCCCTAAGGCAGGGCACCAGGGCATCTGCTGAGGGGTTAGGACTCAGCTAGGGGCAGAAAAGCACACTGCAGGTGCAGAAGGGCCCGCAGGAAGCACAGAGCCGGCAAGCAGCAGTGGAGAACATAGCCTGCAGGGAGCACTGTTTCATAACCTGGCTGTGGAAGAGGGGGAAGCCCAGGGTGAGACCCCGCCAGAGGAGGTAGGAGGATAACGGGGCCTGTGCACTGTGAGGTCTGCCCAGGAGCTCCAGGTGGGGGGAGGAGGTTGTGAGCTCAGAGAGTGCTGGACTTGGAGACAGGTAGGGACCAGGGTCCGGGAGCTCCAGGAGGTCCCAGGGCAGGCTGGGGGAAGGAGTTTTAGGCGGGAGGGCCAGGCTGGGCGGTGGAGCCTGAGGAGGGACCTTGTAAGCCCGAGAATGTGAGCATTAGCACTGAAGGCACAACAACCTCTCGGCGGCTGCCTCTCGGAGGGGGAACTGGCAGTTGGGAGAAAAAGTCCTGGAGTCCAGGCAGCCATGGAGGTGTGAGGCCACACACACTCCTTCAATTGGAAAACATTCACATGCTCTGCTCTGCTTCCCTTTGGAGAACTTACAGCTGAAAAACAAGCTCAGGTTTTATAATTTCCATAATGGCAATGTCTCCCGATTTCGTGCGTATTGGCGTACTTCAAATGCACCAAATTGGATAAAAAGTCCACAGAATTCTGGCACAGGCCTGAGTGCACACACCCAATGCACTGGGCAGCTCAGGACATGGCCTGGTGGCGGAGCATCCGCTGGGGCCGAGCGCAAGGCCCTGCGCTGTCCCCTCAGCAAACGTGCCCCATGAGCCCCGGCTGTGAGGGCCGGGCTGGCACCGCCACACTTACTTGAGCTCTTTCTTCACCTCCTCATAGTCAGCCTGTCCTTTGAGCTTTTCTTCCAGTTGCTGAAAGCAGAGAGGAATTTCATTAGTGGCCACATCTGAAATAGGTAAACGGCCTGAATGTCTGCGTCCCCCACATTCATCTGTGGGGGTCCTAACCCCAGTGTGATGGTATCAGGAGGTGGGCCCTTGGGAGGTGATTAGGTCAAGAGGATGGAGCCCTCCTGAATGGGATTAGTGCCCTTCTAAGAGGCCCCAGGGAGCGCCCTTGTCCCTTCTGCCCTGTGAGGACACAGCGAGAAGAGGGCCGTCTGTGAATCAGGAGGCAGGCCCTCACCAGCCACCAAATTCGCCAGGGCTTGATCTTGGGCTTCCCAGCCTCCAGAACTGAGAAACGAATGTCTGTTCTTTATAAGTCTGTGATATTCTGTTATGACAGGACTAAGACAGACTTCACTGACTACACTCCCTGTAAAACATCCCGCCATCCCTGAGAGGGAATGCAAACACGTACAAATGAAAGGTGACAACGTGACGTGTTGTCTGTTGTCCTTCACTCTTCTGGTCTGTTGTGAGTGTGTGTGTGTGAGTTGGCATGGCATGAATGCACACACGCATGCACACTCTCGTGCACACACACAGCAACATAAGGTTGTAACATAAAACTTAAGGAAAGAAGGAAAAAGCTTTACAAAAGTGGAAAACAGAACAAGGGAAAAAATGCCATTTTGTATGAAATATCATGAAATGGCAAACAGAATGAAGAGAAGCTCTCTCAGTGTTTTAAAGATTTTATTTATTTTATTTTTTGCCCCCAAAGCCCCAGTACATAGTTGTATGTCATAGCTGCACACCCTTCTAGTTGCTGTATGTGGGACTCGGCCCCAGGATGGACAGAGAAGTGGTGCCTCAATGCGCACCCAGGATCCGAACCCGGGCCGCCAGCATCGCAGCATGCGCACTTAACCACCAAGCCACAGGGCCGGCCCTCTCTCAGTGTTTTAAAGCTTCGCAAAACCTGTTAGGCTAGCTGACGCCTGTAGTCGGTTGTCAGCACCTCGGCGGGACACTGCCAACAAGAGCTACGAGTCCCTCTGCTGTTGAGGTCGGCATCAGGGAAAAGCACTGGCACTTTCGGATCCCCTAGATGTGGGGATTTCAGGAGTGGAGGCCCAGCAGCTGATAGTCAGTGGCTTCCCCGGCAGGCAGTCATCCGAGTCCCGCGGCGAGTGCCCTCCCAGGGTGCCCTGGCCAGCAGGGCCACAGCAGGGCCAGTTGGCTTTTTAAGAGGGAGGGCGAGGGGCTCTGGCCCATGCAGCCCTGGCAGGGCCCAGAGGCCCAGGGGCGTGCCAGCCATTCCTCAGGCGTGATACGCTGATGTGCTCCGTTCAAGTCTGTGAGCTCACTCGGCGCTTATGTGGCTATTTCTGCCCAGGGCTCTGCGGAGCTCTCCTGCCAGGAAGGGCCTTGGGTGCAGGGTGGTCAGCAGAGGGTGCTTCCCTCCAGGAAGGTGTTTTGGACTAGCTTTGCTTTTGACCGCCCCAGAGGAAGAAATGAGGCAGTAGAACATAAAACACAAAGACCCAGCCAGGCAGGGGTCGAGGAGGGTTTGGTCCTGATGATTTAGTGCGTTTCCGAGCCCGGGGTGAACAAATTCCAGTGCCTGGATCAACGCACCCTCCCATCTACAGGGTTTCTGGTTGCCTTTTTAGGTTCTGCTTGACCAGCCACAACTATGATCACAGTTTAAAGTCGACTGAGAACATTCTAGTGTTTGGGGAGGAGACGCCCATCTGGCCATCAGCCTCGGGGCTCACCTGAACCCTAGCCCGCCCGCTGTTGCAAGAATTCAGGTGTGCTGTAACCAAGACTCATTTAGACCATCGCTTCCTATTGCCTTCGCTGGCAGTTTCCTGTCTGTGTCTTTTCCACCGCGTAAAACCGCTCTGCCTTAGTTCCTTTTTAAGACCTTTTGCCAACTTTCTATATTATAATGGTTTCTCACCATAACCAAACAGGGCATGAGCTCATTTTCCGACAAAAGATTCTCAGAGGTGCTCATGATGATGCATTATTTCATTCTTCTCCCTATAGTCGAATAGCAGGAGGCACTACTGTGCCAGTCGTCCCAACAAAAGATTATCCGCTGCTGCTGGGACGCAGAGCACCGTTCAGATTGAGGAATTCACTAACGCTGGACACGGAATGTGCATAACACTTGGCTGTGTTCAGAGAATAGGAGAAAGACAGGCAGAAGGGCAGTGAGGGGACACACAGGGCCCCTCAGACCCTGGCATGGCACCGGACCTGGAGTCAGCTCTGTCACTTACAAGCTGGGTACCTTTGGGCACGTTAATACACTTCTCATCTGTAAAACGGGAATAGCAGCAATGACTTTTAAGGCTTGAGCTAACGGGCACAAGACAAGGACCCCGTGCAGATGCTGGCAGCTCTGGGCCTTTGAAGGGGGCCACTATCACCGCCAAGTCCCAGCACGATCTCCCTGAGGGCACAGCGACGGGTCTTCTTTGCAGACCTATGACCGGCCCTGATCAGGTTTGAGGACTGGAGTCTGTGAATCTAGTTGGATAAGACAGTTTTCACGGAGAACTGAACAGCTTCCACTGAAATTTCTGCCACCTCCCTGAGGCAGCTTAATTAAGAACCCAACACCACTCTATAACCCTCGGACGACGTTTCTGTCTCGTTGGGCAGACAGCTGGACGGAGGCCTGGCAGGGGCTGCCTGACAAAGTTTGTCCTGATCTGTGAGCACCATTTCCCGTCTTCTCCAAGGTCTTCACGGAGCACCACGTCTCAGAACCACACTGTGGTGGCAGGGAAGGCGCAGGAAGCACACAGCGTGGGGCCAAACAAACAGTGGCCTCTGATACTGAAAATGCCCACCATGGAAAAAAGACCAACCGTCCTCTGCTCGATTCTGTGACCAGAAACTCCCAGCTGGGTCCCCAGAAAGTCGCCTTTCAGAGACTCTCCATCTAGAAAGGGCAACGGTGTTCTGGTCTGTCGTTCTTTCTGGATAAATACTCTTCTCTCAGATTTCGCTAACGCTCACTGGGCGGGCCTCGGTTCTACATCCCATACGCTACCTTACTTAATTACCACAACACTTTTGCAGAGCATCTGTATGTCTGCCCAAAGAAGGAAAAAATTACTGAGTTCTACAATCAGACCCTGTCAGAGCTGAGGCCAACCCCATGCCTGCAGCAATTCCGGAGCAAGTGAAACACTGGTGTGCTGAGGCCAAGCCAGGAGCCCGCGGCCAGGTTGCGCTCTGGAGCCCGACCGACTGGGGCCAGGGCCTGGCTCTGCCTCTTAGCTGCAGGGTGACCTTGAACAAGACATTTAACTTCTCTAGGCCTCAGTTTCTTCATCTATAAAATGGGGATAATGGTACATATGGTACAGTGCTTTCGTGAGGATTAAATGAAATGATATTAAATGCCTAGCCTGGTGCCTGGCACACGGTACAGCACTCCATAATGGTGGTTATTATTGTTACTGTAGTTATTATGACTTATCCCTGGTGGGTGGTACCGAGTATGACGAAATTGTTTCTGAAGAGACTCTGTGCTTCTGAATCCAGGGGCTCCGTTACGAAGTATTCCACATCCCAGTTGTCATTGCCCAGTGTCCCTGCTGCTCTGTGGCAGATCCAAGGGGAAGGAGCGCAGATGCCCGGAGCAGCTCTGGCTGCTAAGTGCTGATGGCAGGAGAGGCGGTCCCACACCCAGGGCCATGAATACAAAATCTGGGAACCGGGTTATTTTCCCGAAAAGGTCCTTGTCCAAGGAACACACATGGGCTTTAGACAGAGAGGTGAGAGCAGGTCAAGTGTCAGAGATGGGCTGGCTGAGCGTGACCTTGGGAGATGGACTTAGCCTGTTGGGCCTCATGCTTCTCATCTGGAAAATGGGGAGAGTTAAGAATAAGGGTTTTCAAAGCAGAAGGGTGAGGAGATGTAGGATGAGCAAGTGCAGGCTGCCAAGTGCCCTCAAACATTGTTGTTTTATGATATAGGGCACATACGTGCAATAATATAGGGCACATACATGTAGTAATACAGAGCACACACATGGTTCTGGGAACTTGGTAGCGCCCATCAAATGTTTCTTGAATTGCTGGAAGAATTATCTATATGAAGTTCTTAAAATCCTGGCTAACACTTACACAATAATGAAATTTAATTAAAAATGCAAGTATTTTGGTGTGCGAGGTAGGCACTATATTTATAAAAGATATCTGTCTTAGTCAAGTTATAACATAGGACACTCCGTGCTCTAGGACCACCAGCTTAAGGGACCTCTGGCATAGGAGACTACTGCAAAGACCCTTGGAGAGGCCTTGTCTCCCAGGTCTCACAGCTCGTGTTCAAGGCAGCAAGACCTCTTTGCCACAAAATGGACTGTGGGCCAGACAGGCAACTGTGTTATAGTCTGGAGACGGCTCTGTTTTTTTCCTCCAGGATGATCAGAGCCAGGCTTTCATTAGTCTGTCTGAAGATGGACAGCTCAGGCTAGGAGTGTCAGTGAGTGACTCCTTGTCCTCACGTGGACCCCTGGGCTGAGGGGCCTCTCGTCATAACTGAGTGTGAGTGGGCTCCCTGGTCCAGGGCAAGCGTCTGAGGCACAGCCCCTTAGGGTGACACTGCATCTCTGGGGTCCGGGCCAGGCAGCATGCACCTTCTTTCCACCTGAACGAGCACCCCCTCCGGTCTCCACGGTTCCTGGGTGAGACGTAGCAATTATGTAAATTTGGGATCTCCTGATGCTGGGCATGGGGGAGAAGCCCAAGGATGCCCGGTGGGCGCTGTGCACGCACTATAGAAATGCTGAGAACATGAGACAAAAAGAGGAAAACCCCGAGGCCAGACGGGGGCAGGTGGGGAGTGACAGTTACATCGAAGGGCAGAAGACAAGTGGCTCTGGACAGAAGAGGAGGAGCCCTTGTATGGCCACCCCATCATAGGTCACCTCCAACTTCCCCGAGCTGTGGTCCAGGTGTGACCCAAGCACGGGTGGATGGGAGCCAACTCCTTCTCACAGGATGGTGCCATCCCAGACTGGGAGGGTCCTGGCTCAGTGTTTAGGCCACCTGGACATCACACATCATGGCAGCTAAGTGTGCTGCAAGCTGGGGACTGTCTGCAGGTGAGATATCTGGGTTTACTCATCAAATGTTTCTTTCCAAGAGCATTCCTTACAGACTCCCACAAAGAATTAGCCCCCAAGCATTTCCAGTAATACCCACTGGTTTGCAACAATTTTATAGGAACACACTTGTGACCCCAGGCTCCCACCTCAACCCCAATATGGACCTCGAGGCCTCAGTTTGTTTGAGACTGCCTCCAGTGTCTCTCCACCCCTGCTGGGCAGATCTGTCTGTTTCCCGTATCCGGGCCACCTTCGCCCTCCCTCTCCTCAAGTCTGTGCTCACAGGGCCTTCAGGACTCAGCCAGGACCAGGCTCTGGGAGGCTCAGCCCCCGGGCTCTCTGTTAACGGGATGTTTGATGTTAGAACTCCCTCGTGCCATCCAGAGTATGTCTCCCTTCGTGGCAGGAGGGTGGGTGCAGTAGAGGGACATGCACGGGGCCTCCCCCCTAGAGCCACACGCTGGACACCGCGGGGCCTGGCCTCTCCCAACCTCAGCCTGGGGAGTCAAATGGGAGGCGGATGTTAGAGCTGTACACACTGAGCCGTTGATGAGATGCTCGTTAAAACCTGATGGAGGGCAGCCTCAGCGTGGAGCAAACCCACTGCTGGCCAAGGGCACTTCTGAAACCAAAGAGGCAGAGTCCAGAATGAAAGGCACTGAACGAGTCTGGAGAAGCCGTTATCAGTCTTTTTTCCTGTCCCAGCCCTCTGAGGGACACAGCATGCCTCACAGGACCTGTCAGAACCTCAGGAGGAGGGATGAGGGGTGCAGAGGGTGGAGAGGCATGGGCAGCTTGGAGAAAGTCCCCCAGATGATTGTAACCCCCGCCCACCCACCCAGAGGGAAGTACTGATCTTTAAAGCATATCATTAGAAAATATAATTTCTCCCTATGGGAGACTGGCATTCTTTTAGCTAGCTTTTCTTATAAATAACCATTTTAAATTGCAGCTATTGGTAGCATTATTTCCTGTGCTATAGTGAGCGTTATGCAGGTGACCACCTAATTATACTGCCTCTGTATTCAAGAGTTCCAACAGAAGACCACAGAACAGAGGGTTATCAGAAAGAGCAGCCTTGTCATGGCAGTTGGGTTACTTCATAAATTAGGAATACAGAATTATCCTTTACAAGTGGCACTGTGCTTGAGCACTTGTCAGATTAGGCAGGAAGAAACATCTCCCACTTCTGAGTCTGTTTCGATGTCTATTTAAAGGTTAGAGGATGCACCACTGTGTGCGGACAGTGACGTGTTTATGGTGAACTTGGCTTGAAAAACTAGACCATGGGGAGAGCAAGACTGGTGAACATCTAGCTGTCGATTTATTCTCACAGAATTACAAATCAGATGTCTCAGCGGAGCGAAGAAATATTAGTTGCAAAGAGATGGAGACTTTCAAGGCGCTAGAGAAAGCAAACCAATTGGTCCCCAAATATAATCCATTACAGAGTGTCCCACCAGAGTGTACTGGTGGAGAACACCCCCACGAGCTCAAGACTGAAGGTTCTGCCCATTTTGCCTTCTGCCCTTGTGAGACCAACCCCCCACCCCCGCCCCATCAGGGAGTCTCATCAAGCACATTAGCATTTGTCAAAGACCACTGTCAAATGTTCAGGGCAAAAACTACCCACAATGCCTAGATGCTAAGAGACGGGCAGGAAGCTGCAGCATCCTCAAACAGCAATCCCAATTCAAGTCCCACACAGTGTGTCCCAGAGTCCCCCAAAGCTAAACAAGATGATCCAAGAAGGAAAAGCCTGAGGGGGGAAAAGGTGGGAGAAGGGAGTGGCCAGCACCGCTGGGGCAGAGACCCCGTCATCAGAGCATCAGGTTGCCAATGTGACAGGTCTCATTCACAGAATATCTTCCTAACAATTGCATTGCTGCTTAGTTTAGATTTGAGACTACAAATTATACACATTAGGGGAAAAAAAGCCCTGGGAAAGTACCTCATTCAATTAACCTTATTCCTTTGGGTGACGGAGGGAGATGGGCTCACTTAGGGAAGGCTAATGTCTTGTGGGTTCGATATTGGGAAGAACTTCACTCCTGGCGACAAGAGGTTAAGATAATTAAAATCAGAGAAGTCTTGTTACTAGAGGATATGTTTTGATTATTAGATCAGATGAAGATAAGGGAGCAATAATTTCAGAAGTATTGCCGAATTGTTTCATTAACTGCACAGTATTAAAGAATTCCCCCCAGATACGGATAAAGAACATTAATTTGTGCAACTGCGTTTCATTTTTTGTGAAGGCAAACATTAAAACCTTAACAGATTTAGAAGAAATTGCTCTATAATAAAAAATGGAAGGTCTGCAACCTCCCTCTCAAGTAGTCAGATGCAGAATGCAGTTGAGTTGTACCCTTTAAATGTAACGAAGGAGAAAGAGGCAAATTATCTAATAATAATGCCATGGGTACGGTCAAAAATGGCTATCCCATGAGCAAATTAGATTTAATTTAGAAATATAAAATGAGTACTGGTACCCACTGGGCAGGCTGATGAGAGATTACAAAACTGGAGAAATAAATGCCAGGGTTGATGACAAATGTGACCAGGTCTCAACCACCTCCCCAGCTGCAGGACTGCCTCCTCAGAGGGGCCCAGGCACCAGGCAGTTTCTCAGACGGCGGACGAAATCCACCATCCATCCCAAAGAGGCAGAGAAGAAATGGCGAGGGAGAGCTGTGCGTGCACCGGCGCCAGCAAGGTCAGGACAGCGAGGTGCCAAGAGGACGGACCTCCTGGAAACTCAACTCTGGGTCAGAAACACAGTCAGGTGGCGAGAAGAAAAATCTCTACAGTTTTTCATCAAAATGGGCCTAACTACATTCTAAGATTACTTTTTATAAGAAAAAGTTGTCCTGACACTTTTACACCTAACCTTGATCCAGTTTATTTAGCATACAGTGATATGCTTGGCAGTTAGTCACTCACTCATTCACACGCTCCACAAATGGACACTGAGCAGGGGCAGGAGGTGGCCTGAGCGGACATGGCTCGGGCTGGGGAGAGACGGCAGAGCCGGGGCAAGTCTGGCCTAGGAGCTGGCCCCGTGCCCTCGCTGGTCCTGTCTCTTTATCATCAAATAAGATGCCTCCAAGGAGTCCCATCTGGCTCTGACATACTATGAATCTAGGGTCTCAGCACTATCTTCAAATTATGCTAACTTCGACTACTTGCGAATACTTTAAATAAAGTATAATTTTTTAAAAATAATAATGAACAATGTTTGGATTCTGAATTTGGGATACAAATTTATGAAAAACCCCAAGAAGAACCATCTTTTGGTAAGGCTGCCGACGACTCTGTCTGGGAGGTAAGAGGCTAACGGTGCGGGCCCCCATGCTGAAAGCAACACCACGCATTGGGCTGCTCGTGTGCAGCACAGGCCCGAGGGACAAAAATGTCCCTGCAGCCTGGGAGCACCGCCCACGGGGCGTGGGGCAGACGTGCCCTCAGTGCATGTCTTGGCTTTCATTTCCTTTGGGCACAGGAAGAGTCCCAGTTTCAGCACACTGGGTCCTCCTGCTGGAGGCCTCCTCCAAAATCCAGGCAAGGCCAGCAGAGTTAGACTGAAGGTACATCTATAGAGATGGCCTGTGACCTTGACAACCACTCCAAGCCCACACAAGAAACACACAGCCTCCCCAGGCTGAGCACTGGCGTGCTCTGAGTTCTCAGGTGGTGACACAGGGCCGTGGGTGGGCGGGCACCAAGGATGCGGGTTTCTACCCAGTGCTGCACGTGAGGGATGGCTGATCGGGAGGAAAGTGCCGTCCAGGCCAGACCTGGTAGAGGGGTTCAAGTCCGTCTCTCTGCCTTGGGCTCCAGGACTCTGCTTCTAGTTCTCTCATAGAGGTTCAAGGTTGCCCTATTTGTAGTCAATTCCAGACATGACGCCCTCCAAGAAAGAACTATGAGGGAGCTTACACACCACGCTTCTGGGTGATGCGTCCAGGGGAACCCCAGGCCTCCTTAGACTGCTCTCACCGGACGGAAAAACTTTTGTTGATGGCTGGAGCTCAGGCTGAGAAAAACCCAAGAAGTCACATTGGCTTTTAAAGGAGAATGAATTTTAACCACTACCTTTGCAGACCAGACAAATGAGATATACTTATGCAATGGCTGAGGCAGGGCAAATAAGGCCGCTTCTGAGATGAGGCCTCCTGCCATGGTCACAGGGCAGGAGTGACCCACTGAAGAGCTCAGGGTGTTAGTGGGGAGCCAGAACCACCAGGCCAGGCGACCCTGGGCTCCCTCCAGGGCCACGTGCGGAGGAAGGCAGAAGGTGTGCGTGCATGCCCAGCCCTCCCTCGGCCGGGAGGCCCCCTGGGCGCCCTTACTTTGAGGGTGCTGTTCTTGGCACTCAGCTGCTGCTCGAGCTGGGAGATCTGGCTGGCCGAGTTCTCGCGCAGCTTGCTGAGGCTGGCCTGGAGTCTCTGCACGTCCTCCACCAGCTGCGCGATCTCCCGCTCTTTGGCGGCCAACTCAACTTCCAGGCTGGAGCGGGTCAGCACCTCTATGGCCTGCTCCTGCGGAGGAGAGAGGAATGACAAACGGCACCGGCCTTGGGCAGGCGCAGGGTCATCTGTGCCGGCGACGGAGGCCGAAGCACGCAGACGGGAGGATGCGGACGGCGAGCCCCCGGGAAGACATCACCTCCTGCCTCTGCTGGGCCCGGACTGCTGACTGCCCTTCCCACGTTGCCTTCCTATCTGCACGGTGGGCTGCCGCCTGGATTTGTCCATTCCACTGGCATTTACTGAGGACCCACCTGTACCAGGCACGCAGCAGTGAACAGAAGGGCAGAGTCTCTGTCTTCACAGGGCTGCCAGGTGGGGCGATGGGGCGGGGTGGGTGAGGCGCATTAAACACCTTCATTAGCAGGATGAAGTGTGTTGGACAGTAGTAAGTGCCACGGAAAAACTGAGGTAGGGAGGGGGCGTAGGGTCAGACTCGGGAGGGGTAGTCAGGGTTTTTAATAAGATGGTCAGGAAAAGCCTTATTGAGACAGTGACATTTGAGCAAAGATCTGAAGGAGGTGACAGAGAGGGCCCTGCTGATGGCTGGAAGACCAGTGCTCCAGCCAGGGGAACGCTAGACAGGAAGGCTCTGAGGAGGGCGCCTGGAACGTTCCGAAGCATTCGGATTTTCTAACACAAGATGAGATTTATGTCCTTTTGATTCATGACTAAGTTATCTAGACGCTGAGGTGTTGTTTGACAAACTGATTCTCAGAGTCAACGTTTTAAAAAAAGAGTTAAAAAATGTGAAGATGCATATTTGGGGTTCCTTTGCTTAGGAACTCTTACGATAGCTGATGTTTTTAAAAACTTACTCCCACCCACCACATTTGCTCATTTTGGAAAATATGCAAAACAGGGGAAAAGGTTTTTAAAAAAAAAAAAAAAAGGAAAAGTCAAATCCATAATTCTACTTCCCAAGGACTAAAGCAGTACTTTTTTCAAGTTTTAAAAGTAATTACGGCTCTTGAACAATTCTGGAAGCTTTTCTGCCAGGCGGATGCTCTTCTGGGCAGGACCAAAGGGGATGGGGAGGACAGGACTGTACGGGTCTCTGTGACAGCAGAGACCTGGGGGCAGCTCACGCTGCAGTGCAGAACGCCACCTCCTTGCTGTCATCCCCCAGCCCAGAACTGCCCCGCTTCACGTCTGGATCTTGCCTATACTGGGGTGGGAAAGCATGCCAGCTGCAGCCCTAGTTGGCAGGTGCAGCCGTGCCATTCCATGCACGATGTGCTTGTCATGGGGTTTTCACACTGGGGAGAGCCAGTCACTCAGGGCAATAACTTTTCACATCTCCCTCCTGGGAAATTAAGGCCTTTGCCATTTAAGAATGTAAAGTTTTGCTGTGCAAAGAAGAGACTCCTTTCTGCTTCTTTGATTTGTATAATATTGTAAAATCAGTTCTTCGTTTCTCCTGACTTCTGGCAGATCTGCACATGGCCCTGCGGCCCCAGTGAGCATCTTCCTGGTGGCTTATGTAAAAGGCACATGCTGTCCACAACTGTTCTGTTCAGAGTGGGCTCCACGGACTGGTGCCAATTCCCAAACCGTGGCCGGCACACAGTGAGACAAGTACAGAAGTTGAGAGTAAGTGTTTAGAAATTTTTATGGCAATTCAACACTGCTGTGAGGTTTTTTATTGTCTTTTATAAAACTACCAGTCTGCAACAGATTAGAAACTAAAAAATCAAAACAAAATTGTCCTTCATCACAGAGAGTTTGGGAAGCACGGCCCTCGGTCCCAACACTGGCCGGGACCCAGGTCAGGAGTCACGGGGACCTGAGACGAGTGTGCCCAGGGGCGCCAGAGGGCAGTGAGAGAGGCAGGCGCGGCTGGGCCGTGAGGAGGGAGAGAGCAACACAGCAGCAAAGGGCTGGTGGATCTCGTCAGAAGGAAGAGGGGCTCCGTATCGGGGTGGGGACAGCACAGGTGGGCACAGAGGTTGGAAGGGGCAGGGAGCAGGGCATGACGAAGGAGTGGCCGACACTGAGAGCCCAGCTCGAAAAGGAGCTGGCACGTTGGCACCTGACGGTGAACGCTCGGAAGGGCGCCCAGAGGGGCCTGGACTTGTGGCGGCAGGCCTGGGGGAGCGGGAAGGGAACATGATGCAGAGGATACCCTGGAGGTTGGTCTCAGGGTGGGTATAGACTGAGCCACGTTATCTAATTTAACTCATTTCATCAATCTTCCTACCTGAGGGATGCCAGCCATAAAAACTGTTTAAAGTGCTCTTAGGGAAAGAGTCTCTAAAACCAGCCAAAAAGTGAGCTGCGGTTTTAAATGGGCAAGTCTGAGTTACTGTATCAGGGACAAGTGGTTCAGATAACATATATGAAAGCAGCAGCTCTCAGTGCTGAGATGATGGGACCTAGGGGTGGGCGTCCCAGAGAGTGTCTGCTCCACTCCTGGGGCCCAGTCTGGCTGGCCACAGGCTGACTGTGTGACCTTGGGCACATCAGCTAACCCTCAGGAACCTGGGTTAGGGTTAGAGTTAGAAAATAATCATTCATGTCTTGCATAAACTAGATGAGATGAGATAATACACCCAAAAGCAGCAAGAGCTTGGAAATAAGAGGGAAAAGACCATTGTCCTTCAAGTCCAAAGGTGGCTCATGCCCATCTCAAACACGAGAGGAAGACACGATGGGAAACTAAGGAAGAAATGGACAAGGGCCGGGAAGGGATCAAGGGGCTGCAGGTGGAGGCGAGGCCTGTGCCTGGGTGATGGAGCAGCCCCTCTCGGTCCGTGGGCACAAGATGGAAAGGAAGCCACATAACAGGGTGGACGAAGCAGATGTGCCGAGAGGAGGGTGGCCTTTGAAACTGCAGGAGCTGGGGGTCAGGCAGTTCAGATGCCGACTCTGTCTCAGTTGAGATCATTAGCGAGAAGAGCGGCATGTGAGGAGGCACACGTGATTTAAAGGGGGGCCAGGACCACTGGCTCCTCTGTGTCTGTCCGGGCTTCAACTCAGCCCGGACAGAATCCGGGGGGCTTGAATCGTTGGGGGCTTTAGGAAATATACGGGTTCTGAGCCCTACCCTGGAGACTGGTTCAGGGGGTCTGGGGTAGGGCCCAGGGACTCCCTGGTGATTCTGATGGGGTTCAGGGCCAGGACCCTGGCTCAGACAAGCCTCTGAAGGAAGGAACAGAAACTGACTTCCCCACATCTGACAAGAGGCCCCTGTGGGCACCAGAACAAGGTCCCGAGAGTCTGTCCCAGCAGGGACATTCCCACGGCTCCAGGCTCCCAAGACCTCTAAGGGCATCCCACATTCCTCACGGGTGCAGTGTCCTGGGGGGCGCTCACGGCTCAGGAGAGGAGAGAAGAGGCTATGTGGGAATGCTTTGTGCATCTAAAGACATTGTAAGAAAATGAAAGGATGTGTTTCCAAAGGGAAAATGCAGGTAAAAACAGAAGTTACTGATGTCGTATCCCATTACATTTTGTCCCTCCCCCTCTCCCAACCTGCTCGCGTGAAACATCACGCGTCGCATAACTGTCTACCGAGTCCTCCCACCAAGACTAGTCGGTGAGGCTGAAGTGAGCCAGATAGCGATCTCTCTTGTCCTGCAGCCCTTTGCATATTAAATATGAATGAGACGCAAGAGCGCTACCCAATACGAGGGAACCTAACTGTGAAATGATGGTGTGCCTAGGACCCCAGCCTGAGAGACACATACCTCAAGTCTAGGCTAGTGCTCCTTTTAGTTACCCCCTGGGGGAAAGACAAGGGAATGGGAGCCTCGGTTTTACTTCCCTTTCTTTTTGCCCCTCTATTCCTGCCAACACCAAGTGGCCAAAGTTGGCTGGATTCTCTCCAGTATTCACTTGAAAGACTCACCTGGTAGACAGATAGAGAGGGGTATTTTCTGATATTACAGTGTGTTTAGGTTCAAGAAGGTGGCCTGGTGTGGTGCACCAGATGTGACGAAGGACGTGCATACATCCTGTCCCATTTAATGCACATGAAGGAGGGGTGGCTCGATGTAGGCGACAAAGAGTGGACGTTGGAGCAGGACAGACTTAGGAGCAAATTTCAGCTTGATCATTTTCTAGGTGTGGGACCTTAGGCAAATTACTGAACTCCTCTGAGCCTGTTTCCTTAGCTGTAAAATGACGATGCTCAAACCTACCTCTAATGACTGTGGTGTCAGGAGGCAGAAATGGGATAACCGTATAAAGCCCCAGTGTGGCCCCTAATGCAGAGCGGGAGCTTGATGAGAGGCAGCTCACCTTCCAGAACTGGCGGTTCTGTTAAGACACCCAACGGACTGGTTTTGGCCTTTGCTGGATCTGTAGACTGTACTGTTTCTCTGCCGAGTTCTGCCAGCCAAGCCCAACAGACGTTTTCCTGCTGGCCCAGTTTCCTCTGTGGCTCCCTGACTGGCTGGGGCTGGGGCTGGGGCTGGAGCTGACCGACTACGTGGGGATGCACGCGGAGGGAGCCCAGGCAGGGCGGCTCTTGGAAGACTGAACTGGTGCCATGTAAACACTGCACTTAGCCGATGATGAAGTGTTTAAGCACCCCGAGGATCCACAACTTACTCTACCTGCAAAAACATTCATTTCCTTCTGAAATGTTTTGGTTGCTCCAGTCCAGGATGGTGCCAGAAACCCTTTCAATCAAAACACTGAGCTCAGGAGCCCCGTGCAGACACTTTAGGACGGACGGCTTTCTCCGGAGGACCAAGAACAACCAAGAGGCCGGTGAAGCCATACTGACTCCATCCCCGAGGCCCTCCTCCTGCTCCAGGGCTGAGTCCAGGCCAGGTGAGCTCAGAGGAGGGGACGATGACACAGCGAAGGGGACGTTCCAGGTAAAATTAATACCAGAGTCCATCAAGTATGAAGGTTGTGATGGTTCTTTAAATAAAAAACTTTTCTCTATAGTCTGAAACACTTAAATCATGTTTTATTTAATGTTGTTATTATTTTTTTGGTGAGGAAGACTGTCCCTGAGCTAACAGCCATGCCAATCTTCCCCTATTTTTGTATGTGGGTCACCACCACAGCATGGCTTGATGAGTGGTGTGTAGGTCCACACCAGGGATCTGAACCCGCGAACCCTGGGCCATTGAAGCAGAGCGTGCGAACTTAACCACTACACCACCGGGCCGGCCTCTATTTAATGTTAATTTAAAGAAAGAAAAAGAAAATCCATTCTTTAAAGGGGTCCTAACACTAAAACTTTGCTTTCGATTCATTCCTGGGGAATAGCCTGTAAGTCCTGGTCGGGGGTGGCAGAAGGCCCCAGCTGAGTCCTGGCTTGGCCCCTGGGGCCAGGTGCTGTGGGGGAGGGGCTGGCATTGTTTCCTCATCTATATAAAGAAATAACAATACCCTACTTCAGGGGTCAGGTGGAACAACAGTCAGACCGACACGTGAGCTTCTGGCAACAGCACAGGTCCCGACTGGACTGCTCGCTCTCCCGGGGTCCACTCTGGGTCCTGGCACACAGCAAGGGCTCTGTGACTCCTTGTTAAATAAAAGGACACTCACGAGTGCAGTTCACCCATCACAGGCTGTCAGAGCTGAAGGACCTCAGGATCAGTCCCTCGTTACTCTGCACATGGGGAAACTGAGGGCTTGCAAGTTTAACCACCTGGGGTTTGTAAGAGAACTAGTGACGGAGTCGAGCTTCAAAGCCGGGGTTCCCGGATCAGAGATAATCATTCCACCACACTAAGGGTAACCGCCAAGGTTTACCGAGGACTGATTATGTGTCAGGCCTTGCTCTAAGCACTACGCTCATAATGATGTCCTGAACCCTCACAAAAACCCATTTTACAGATGAGGAAACTGAGACTCATGGAGGTTAAGCCACTTGCCCAAAGTCACACAGCTGATAAACTGTAGAGCTGGGGTCTGAACCCAGGGGTTTGGCTCCAATATCCAGAGTCTTAACTACTATGCTGCTCCTCACTGCACAGCAATGAAGGAAAGAGTCTGGAATCCAACAGTTCAAAGCCGCCTTGATCGAGCTGGGAAACTCCTGGCCACGAGCAATTTTTATTAATCTTAGAAAAATCAAAAGGCAAAAGGACCGAGACGTGTGCTCCAGTTTCAGGTCTCCACCCCAGAGGCCCGGCCGGGAAGACACCCTCTTGTGATGGGGTCTCATGCCTCCACCTCTACACTGGGTGAGCGTCACGCTGACCACGGAGCATCGATATCTAAGCAGCAAAGCTCTTCCTTTGACTCTAACGTGCTCCATCCCCAAATTGTTAAAAGCATTCCCCACCAAGACAGCACTACTTTTTAAAAGATTACTCCAAAAAGGGACACTATAAAGCAAGAGAAGAAAGTGGCTGTAACAGAGGTACAGACACGAGGCGGACAGTCCCTGTAGGGCCGGGCTACCCACCACATCCGGCGCCTTCTGGATCTGCGAGGCCAGCTGGAGAGAGTGGTTGGCTGACGAGAGCTGCTCCCTTAAGGTCTCCGCCTCTCTCTGAGCCACCTCTGCCCTCTGAAGGAAATGAAAAGGGGCGAAAAGAGAAAGTACATTCAGTTTAACAACTGACAATTATTACAAGAACATTCATCAATTCATGCCTGACTGACTATAATTGATTTTCCTAAACACTCAACCTAATAAATGCTAGAAAAAAACATAGAATGTGATGGATTTTTATTTTAAACAGTACAAGGAAGAAATAATTGAGCGATTATGACAGTAATTTAACGCTAGGAGCAAGGAATCCCCTGCTGATACTAATGCTCCGGCCCACTGAATTTCCCAGACTGAATAAATACAAGTGGAAATAGAGTCTTTTGATTCAATTCCTTTCTATTCTCATAGACCAAGAAGATTTTATTGCAGGATTACTCCTGGGAGTAATTCTCACGGGTAAACAGTGAATTAAAGACACTCTGGCCATTCTCTTCCTAAAAACATGCACAATGCTGTGGTTGTTTTCCTCTAGCAAGTATTTCCATAGACGTACACGGTGTAAATGCCATTTCTTTTGCGAGGGCCGGGCTTATTTCAACATATTTAACTCTTCACCCAACAACGTTTCTAATGCTGATGCTGGCACTTCCAGCCCGCCAGACCAATCTGGGGCCAGAGGTGGGAGGGTGGCCCAGGCCCCTGCGGCGGGGTGAGGAGGCACGGGGCCAACTGCAGGAAGAAGCTGCAAGATAAATCAGGGGACGCCTCCATTATTTGCATGTGATTCCTGGACAAGGAAACCCACGCCACTGGATAGCAAATCAGGATTTCTCATGGATGGCAAGAATCGGTCCCTCCAGTGCCTGCCACCCGAGGGGGCACTGTGGTGCAGTGGGCGGGACTTGGGCATCTGGGAACAGAGGGACCAGGGCAAGTGACCTAACCAAGCTTCCACCTTCCCATCTCTAAAATGGAACAGTCTTCCTCTCAGGGACCTTGCGAGGACTAACACCCACAGGTGCACTGTACACAGAAGTATTTGGAAGTGTTTCATTAATGGGCTTGTCCTGATGTTACAATTATGATTGAGACGAAACTCTAAGATGGGTGCGAAGCTAACTGACATTGGGCATGCAGACTGAGAAGTAATGTGCTTATTCTTTCCACCAGACTTACATTTCGCTAATAGAAAAGATTAATGAGAAAAGCCCGGGTGAGCAGGGCTATTCCGGTGTGTTCTTATTTTGTGGTGTGACAGTGTGTGTCTACTAATTGCTAAGAAAGAACTGAAAAAGAGAAACAAGAAGTTAGCCTGCTCCAGTTCTCGCTGATCAATCCACTTGTGGGAGGCAGGGTTTGGCAGCCTGAGTGATGCTATGACGGCGGTGCGAATCTGTCTGCTCTGCCTGCAGACCAACAAGGATGTTTCCGACAGCAGTTCCTCCTGCCCAGGGTGGCGCTGCTGGCCGCCCGCACTGCTTCTCCAGGGGCTCTTGGAATTGCGCTCAACCTAAATCACACGGTGCCTGGCCAGGCCTGTCTGTGCCCAAGTAGCCGCCTCCCACCCTCTCTGCTGCAAACAGAATCTAGAAGCACCCGTCAGGAGAGGCAGCAATGTGACGGGCGTGGCGAAGCTAAGAGGGTGACTTCCAGCTCACGTGAACTGCAGGCAAGTCTCCTCTTCAGTGAAAAAGGTTTCCCCCAGTTTCTTTCCAGACATGCCACTCCAAGTTTTTCTGATAATCACGTCCTATTTCAGAAAAGTTTACTCTTCTCTTTCTAGTCAGCTAAACCCTCGGGCATAAAATCTCCATGACTCTGCCAGGAATAAGGTGTATTCTGACATATTTCTCGTCTTTGACTAGGAAGAATATTTCGTAGCCTGGTGGAGCAGCTGTTCTGGCAGCAGCCACCAAGGCAGCGTCACCACCCCCGGGGAACACTGGCTCTGAGGTGTTCTGGAACCACCGGAGCTCGGGCCCAGCAGTGGGTTCACCACCAGGACCTCCCGCGGGCCTTGGGCCGCTTGGAGCCGAGTGCCGTCTTGTCAAGGGCCTTGGGCTCACAGAAAAAGGGATCTAGCTGCTACTGACTGCATCCTCGGTTTGCATAATTTCTCTAGAGCTTCTGCGCTTTACTCAGTTTCCAAGTTCATGTACAGTCACCCTGTGGCCTGTCCGTAGTGGCCACAGCCTTTTGTTACATTTGGCCTGACTTGGTTACTTCAGCACCACTTTTTGATTGTTTAGGATTTATATTATTTATCTAGGATTTATACCCGGAGTACCTCAAAAACTAAACCAAAATAAATGAGTTAGAGTGGTTTGCGCCACTAAACTTCCACAAAGCATAATAATTAAAAATAAGAACAGGCCTGAGAGCAGCTGCAGGAGGGAGGCAACTGGACGCTGGTATGCAGCTGGGGTGAATTAGTTTCTGTAGCTGTAAATTTGGCCCCACTGTTGGCAGCTGAGGCAGAAAGCAAGGGATGCTGTGCAAGGTCGGTGCCGTGCATCACTTATTTCCAGGGTCTCCCATCTTCCCGATGACCACAGGCCAACCAGATGAAGCTGTGTTTCTAGCGCTGCAATCAATGATGGGAGGTGGAAAGCTCTGGCACTGTTTTCTGATCTGGACCCCCAGACAGACCTGTGGCTGCCATGAGACACCTAACGCCCTGTTTCCACTGACAGGCTCCCTCCCTCCTCCCATGTCCCTGCAGAGGGAGAGCCTGGGGACCAAGGCCAGGGCTCTGCATGCAGCTGGCAGCAGCCCCACGTGTGATTCAGCGGCCACCCCACGATGAGAACAGCATCTTGCCAAGCCCAGCGGCTCTCCTGAGAGATTTCTCTTGCTGGCTGTTGCTTCCTCTCCACTTTTTGGAGAAGTGAGGAAATGCCGGAAGCACGGGGAATATAAAGAAGGCGGCACGTGAATGACGAGGCTGTTGCCTGCATTCTGGCGGCAACTCTGAGCACAAGGATACAAACGGCTGCCTCGCAGAATGAAAAAGGACCAAGCAGACAATGTGGGCCAAGGGCCTAATGGCGCCTACCACGTGGTGACGGGTGTCCAGTAAACTATTATTATTAAGGGTCCTGACATGTGCTACCTCGGGTGGTCATTACTCTTTCCTCCTCTTGAAATGGAAAACTTTTTCGGGGGAAATTACTAGAGACCATAGCTGGTCTTCAGGTTAAACTCCAGCTCCCTCAGCAGTCACCTGGAGGGCAGGAAGCAGCTGGTAACACTGTTTCAAGAATTCTTCTGTTAAAGTCAAGCCAGCAAACAGCGGTGACGATTCCCATCCATGTGACACTGGCTGGCCCAACAACAGTCACAGGTGAGCTTTGCATGTCGGGAAGGGCAGCCAAAGTGGGGGCCCACCGTGTCACCTCCTCCTATAGGAAGGCCCACAGGGGGACCCTCGCATTCCTCAAGGACTCCTGGGAGGCCTGGGAAGGGCAGGGAAGGAATGCTTTCCCCTCATGTCAGACCCCAAGGAGCACACATTAGAATGTGCCTACGGGATGCTGACAGCTATCTCCAGACCTTCAAGTCTGACAAATCAGGTTCACACAAAGTGGAGGAGAAGCCTGGCTGGGTGGGGCAGACAGAGGAGGCAAAGGCAGATCCTCGGGGCAGCTGTCACTGGGGTGGAGGAAGGTCCAGGGGCGGCCGGTGAGGCCAGTCATAGCCCCCTGCGAAATGCGGGCCCAGATCTATGGAGAGGTGGCTGTGTTTTCTTCCTGTCCAGCACCAACGCTGCGACGTGAGGGAATCCTCCCCGTGGCCCCTGGAGGGCAGGCTTCTCCCCAGTTTACCCACTGAAGGTGTAGCCTTTGGCGTTCCTGGTTTCATACCATGGTGGTAGGGTCTCTGATCCAGCCTTCTGCCCAACCTGGTCCTAGGCCTTGTCTCTTGTCCCCTGTGTATGTGAGGCCATGAAAACCCAGGCTCGGGGACACCAGAGATGAACAAGTCCCTCCAGTGACAATGCAGCCACGTGAGCCGGCAGTGGGCTGTGCCCCCAGGTAGACCCACAGCTTCCCAAGGGTGGGACAGGCTAGGAACACGAGTCTGTTAGCAGGCAGTCAGTCCTTCCTTGTATGACTTCCCTAAGGCTAAAAAAATCACCACCAATTGAGTGAATTAAAACAATACAAATCGATTAACTCACAGTTCTGGAGGCCAGAAGTCCGCAAGGGGTCTCACTGGGCTACGATCAAAGTGTAGCAGGACTGCGTTTCTGAGGCTCTAAGGGAGAATCTATTTTCTTGCTGTTTCCAGCTTTTAAAGGCTTCCCACATTCCTTGGCTCGTGGCCCCTTCCTCCATCTTCAAAGCCAGCAGTGGCCAGTCAAATCTTTCTCATATCGCATCTCTCTGACACTGACTCTTCTGCCTCCCTCTCTGCATCTGAGGACCCTGGAGATGACGCAGGGCCCATCCCATAATCCTGGGAAATCCCCCATCTCAAGGTCAGCTGATTAACGGCCTGAATTCTTTTTTGCCAGGTAAGTGAACATATTCAGAGGTTGTGGGCATTGGGACGTGGACATCTTTGGGGGTCATTCTTCTGGTCACCACGTTCCTCAAGGACAAATAACACAATGTTTGGACCACTTCAAGGAGAAGGGAAGCTCTCCTGGGGGATGACTCGGCAACCTGCTCCCTCAAGGCCCTGCACTCTGGACAGAGAGAGAAAAGAGGAGCAAGACTAGAGAGACCAACAAACAGGCATTCCAAAGGAACAGCCTCCATCACTTTGGAAAGCGCATAGCCGGCTCTGGTCATCCTTCCAAAGCAATACCCACGCACAACTGCAGAGAGCAGTGAAGACCCCAGAGGGAACCCCGTTCAGTGATTCTGTAGGAGGGAGGTCAGAACGGTCTGCCAAGAAATCTACTGCCATGTGTCCCAAGCTGGCCCTGTGCTGGCGACCAAAGTCCCTGTTTAGACCGGCTGCCTGTGTTTCTGGGGACTTGATGCATACGGATTTGGAATTCTTTTCTCAGGTTGGCCAGGCTGAAAGCTGGAACTGCACCCGTGCCACCCATGTAAACACTGCTTGTCACAACCTGAGTCACGATTTTAGGAAAGCCAGAAGAGTAATCATCTCTACCTCTCCTGCCACACAGGCCTCCCATGGGGGGCCCCAGGGGCTCTCTCCAGGCCTTGCTGGCATACCTGACCTGGGCTGGGAGCCCAGTTTATTGCATAGAGAAACTAAGGTTTCCAGGAGACCCAGGGGAGGAACCAGAAGCATGCATGTGGCCCACCCAGCAGAAAGGGCGCCTTGACTCAGCCAGGGGAACCAGGACTTCCTCAGCACCTATGAAGGGCCAGCACAGATGGGCCGCACACCAGCAGAGCCTGCTCAGAGTAGGTGCTCAAAACTATTTGTTGAATGAACGGGGGCTTTGATGAGTGGGTGCTCTCACAGATGTGTGGATTATCACCCTCACTCTACAGATGGGGAAACAGGCGCTGGGAGACTGGAGATTTGCTCAAGGCCACAGGGGTGGGAAATGGGAGATGTGGGATTCAAACGCAGTCCTTCTGCCCCACTGGAACCCTGGTCAAAGAAAATGCCAAACCTTGCCATGAGTTCCTTTAGCTCTTTGCATTTTTCTCTATGCTTGGCTTCTCCTCCTTGCTAAAGTTAAACTGTGGTTTCCAACTTAACATCAACCTGAAGGATCTTCTGCTAAGGCAGTCTCCTCCTTAAGAATCAGGCAGGTTAGCAGGCGGAGGACCACTGACCGAAAGGCCTTCCTCCCGCCCCCGCTGTGGCTGTGCTTTGGCAGCTCCAATCAGAGCTGCTCCGACAGCGGGGCAGGCGATGGCGCAGCCAGAGCAGCCCACAGCCAGGGTTTCCTGTGGCTGCAGAGTGCCGAGTTGTGGCTTCTTATTTACCATCAAGTCTCAGAAGTTCGGAACCCTCACTGTCCCCAATTAAGACAGTGAGTATTAACGCGAGTGCCTTGAAGTTCAACACACAGGTGTCACTGGGACCTGGACCCAAGCGGCGGCCGCTGACCGCTCTTCCCCTCCTCCAGAACAGAAACACGAGCACTTCAGCAAGAACACAGAGCTTCGGGTCTCAGTAGAACACTCGGACTGTAAACCTAGTGCAAAACAATGTTACATGCCGATGAACTGGTAAATGGCTCCCCCTGGGGATTTTCCCTGACGGGGAGGGCATGGAAACCAGACGTCTGGCTGCGTCCGCACCAGCGTGCGGCTCTCGCACCCTCCTCTGCCCAGCCCGCCTCCGCTCCTCTCCACGGGGACCGCCTCATCCTAATCCTGACCTATCACAACAGCTGCTTACTGCTCTCCTGGCTTCCAGTCTTCCCACTCCCATCCATCCTCTAATGTTTAGCCAGGGTGATCCTTCTAGAACACAAGCCTGATGCCTCATTCCCGCCTGTGATTCTTCGCTGTTCTCAGGATGAGGTCCTCCACACAGGGGCCTCACATTCGAGGCTGTCCCCAAACCTGGCTAGATCCCCTACTATGGGCCCACCCTCCTACCCTGCACCTCCGCATTCTAGCTTTACAGAATGGCCTGGAACACCCAGAGCTCACCATGCCCTTCTGCACCTGCCTGGAATGCTACCTTCCGCATGTCCACGGGGGAGCGTTTCTCCTTGTTGGCCTGCTGAGTCATCGAGTTCAACCCCTCTTTCCGTCCACTCTGTGCCTGATCCCCATCTCATACCCTCACGAGGGCTGACCCCCATCTGCCTGCTCAGCTCTGGCGACAGGAGCTCACTCCCTTCGGAGGCTGCTCTGGGCACCTCCGGAGAGCAGGAACCGAGAACCAGCTGCTCAACGCTGGGCGTAAGTTCCCTCCCACTAGCCTCCGAGCTCCACCGTGAAAAAGGCCGACTCCTTCCCCTGCCCAGCCCTGGAGAGCTACAAGGACAGAATTCACAAGGTCCCCACCCTAGGCCTTCCACATTCTAATCTTTTAACATCCCAAATTCCTGAAATTATTCCTCTGGTGCTTGGTGTCAAGTCCCTCTGTTTTCTTTCCTTGCCCCCCAAAGATCAGGACTGTCCCCCAACCTCCTGGTTTCCACTGTGTGAGGGTGCCTTCCCTGTCCTGGCCGAGGCGACCCTGAATGCACTCTAGATCTCCGTTTTTCTGACAGCGTGGTTTCCTTGATAAATCATAACTCCCTGGGCGTGGACTAACTGCTGTAGACTGGAGCACAATCACCACCTCCTTCATCCTAGAAACTCTATTTCTATTAAGGTAGCCCGAGGTTGCATTAATTTCTTTCGGCAGCCACATCAGGTTATTAACTCAGCCTGAGTTGTTGGGTAGAACTCTCCCAGACCCCCACCCCGCCACGCTGGGTTTCCTGGGGCGGGACTTGATACTTCTCCCACCAAATCTGCGCTTCCTTAGCAACTATAGAACTAACACTGACTTAAGCACCTACTTCTTACCCAGGCATTTTACCTCTAATCCTCAAAACAATCTTGCAGAGGAAGTACTGGTTATCATTTCCTTTCTCTTTCATTTAAAAAAAAAAAAAATCAAAAAAATTTTAAATGATGCTAAAATACATACAACATAAAATATACCATCTTAACCATCTTTAAGCGTACAGTTCAGTAGTGTTAAGTACATTCACATTGTCGTGCAACCAGTCGCCAGAATGTTTTCATCTTCCAAACCAAAACTCTGTCCCCATTGAACGACAACTCCCCATTCCCCGCCCCTGCCCCCACATGCTACTCCCTGTCTCTGTGACTCTGACTAGTCTAGGTCCTTCATACAGGTGGAATCAGTCTCTGTCTTCTTGTGACTGGCTTATTTCCCTTTAGCACAATGTCTACAAAGTTCACCTTTCTTTTTTTAAAGAAACATAAGTGGTTAAGAGATTTGTCCAAGGCCACACAGCCAAGAAGAACCAAGTTGAGACCTGAACCACGTGTCACTTCAGAGATGGTACTGCCCTCCACCCTCCTGCCTGGTGTGTCCTAGGACTGAGATCCCCCAAGGTGGACGATGCACTTTGAGAAGTGCATCGACTCTGCCAAATGTCTTTAGTACCTGAGGACTGCCTCGGGGACAATGCACTTGACTGTCACAGAATAAGGCTGTCTATTTAACAAACCAGAGCTTACTCCAAAGTGCCTTCAAAAGGGGAGGCACGCCCACGGTTGGCCCTGGGTGGAAATCTGAGAAACGCAAATGACAATCCTGCCGCAGAGGTTAACTCCTTCCAGTAACCACTTCTGAGTTAAGGTCTCTGCAAAGTTGAACAGTGCTGAGTGAAAACAAAGGGGCCAGGCAAAGTAGTTTAACAAATACAGTCACGTGGAGCTTAACGATGGGGATGCATCCTGAAAAATGTGTCGTTAGGTGATGTTGTGGTTGTGCGAGCATCATAGAGTGCACTTACACAAACCCTCATGGTACAGCCTACCACACACCTAGGCTGTATGGTACTGATCTTACGGGACCTCCGTCCTATGAACCTAAACGTCGTTATATGGGGCAGGACTAAGGTAAATAAATCTTAAGCACCTTCGTGAGATGAAGCAGAAGCAGTGCTTCATGGCAAGGAGCTGGGTGGATGGGTGCATTTGGGAAACAAGACAGTTGGAAAGAAAGGCACAGTGAGCCCCTGCTCTGCATCCGTTTCCAAGCGTGAGGAAGAGTCCAGGCTCCAGTCCTGGCTCTGCAACTGACCAGCCACTGACCTCAGTTTCCTCATCTGTAAAATGGGCACCATAACATCACTGACTCAGTGGGCTGCGGTGAGGCTTAAGTGACTTAGATCCTTTGAAGGGCTCAGAACAGAGCCAGGCACAAATAAATTACCCAGGAACTGTCAGTTCTTCTTACCATCACTAGGACATCTAATACCTAATGAAGCCATTTCAGGGGATTCGTTCCACGCATCTCGACCGAGCACCTTCCACGGGCCAGGCCAAGACCCTCAGGGATGAGTCTGAGTATGCAACACTGAACCCACAAATTTTTCCTTAAAAAGAAATCCACACGTCCTATGGTCATTCCCATGCATAAACTGACTTTTATACTTCAATCTCACTTCAGGATCGTTTTATTGGCCAAAGAACAGACAAGGATGCTCTCTCATGAGCAACTGCCAAGGTCTAGGTAAGCAACACCAGCCAGGGTGCAGGTGCCCTGTGGAACTCTCACAAGGTGACAAGCAGAGACCACAGAGCCAAGAAGGATTTCCATCCCACGGGGGGCTGTGCTTGCCTGGGCCACTTGAGGCAAACTGTGAAGCTTTCCTGGGCCTGTGGCCGCCCAGCTGTAAAACTGAGTTTCGAGAGGCCACAGCCTGTGGCCTTCTGGGGCTGAGAAACACATCATAGCTTTGGCTGCTTCTCCCCAAAAATATAGAAAATGAATGGGGGGACCTCTTTCTTTTCAAAGCAGCAGTACCATCTGTGAAAGCAAAATGTTTTACTGTTCTCCAAGTCCTTGGGGCAGGAAGGGGTTCTGCAGAGTGTCTGAATTTTCCAGGCAGCTGAGTATTTGGAGCCACCCAATACCGTGTGCCTGTTTTGTGCCGGACACTTTCTGTGCTGGGACTTTCTGCAAGGCATCTGTGACAACCAAGTGTGAGCCAAGAGGGGGCTGTCAGTTGGCAGCCCTTGCCAGAGCAAGCGGCTTCAACCCAGTAGAAGCCAGAGATAAGACTTCTCTATAGTATAACTCATTGGTCTAAACTCTATAACACAATGCCAGCCGTAGGAACGGAGGTGCATATTTAAGAGACTGATTAGGAAAAAGAAAAAAAAGTAACCACTTTGCAGTGGATGTTCACCAGGGGGGGCCTGGGATGCTGGGACCACATCAAAGGCTTTGCCAAAGAAATAAGGCCTGGGAATTTTCATGTATTTATCATGACCTCAGAAAAAGTGTCAACATTGATAGTTGTATGTAAAAAGTACAAGAAAAACTGGCCTTCTAACTTAGAGAGGCGCCATCTTCCAAGATAACAGAAATGGCTACGCTATTATGATTTTATGCCTGAAGCCAGCAAACATCCTACCTGGTTTGCTCTTTCAAGGTCCGTCATGATCATTTCAATTTCGTCGGCCCTAGGAAGGCGAGAGGGAGAGAGCGGTTAGTCAGCAGCGAGGCAGGATTGGGGGTGCTCACGGTTCCCAACTCAGCAGAAGGACATGCAGTCACACAGGCCAGGAAGAGTCCTCAGTGTTGGGGGCCATGCAGACCTGTGTGGGGACACTGCTGCCCATCAAGTGGAGGCGGGCTTGTGCTAGGGAGAGGGCCGGTCTGCCCTTGAGGGGCTCCCAATCTGGTAGGGGAGACAGAGCCATAAAAAGAGAAAATACAGTGTGTCCTGCCAAGAGATCAGACAGAGCTCTGAACAGAGTGCTCTGGAAAAACAGAGGGAGAGATGAATTCTCCTTGGGGGAGGGAACTCAGGAAGGCTTCAGAGGAGGTGTGAATTGGGTTTTGAAGGATGAGTAGAAGTTTGCCAGGACTGAGAGATCCATGAGAAAGTAAAGGGGAGGATGGGATTGCAGGTCGCAGGTCTCTGTAGTCTGCTCTATAAACCACCCGAGTTCACGGTCATCACCCAGCCTGCTCACACACAGGTGCTTTTGTTTCTTTCTTTTTTCCTGTTTTGAAAGTATTTCCTTGAGTAACGTGAAGGTAAAGATATGGTTCCAACATACAACATCACGAGAGAGAGAGAGAGGGCGCTGCGAGTCCTGCTGAGAAGGGCAGGGTCAATCCCAAAAGTCTGTGGAGGTTCTAACAGGACACCTGGGCAAGTTACTGTCCCAAGTTCTGCCAGACGGGTCCTGATGATGGCCCTTGTCAGGAGGCCACGGCTGGGAGGGCTGTAACCCGAGGCAGGTTTGGCACGCCCATGGAAACGGAACGGAATGTTACAGCCACAGACCCACAGTGGGGTTTAGGGCTCGCTCCTGCTGGGCCTCCTCCACATCTTCGTGGGCCTGAGCTCGCTCTGCTGCCTGCAGGACTCAGTCTCACTCCTCGGCGCTGTAAACTGGGCCCTCCTACACCACGGCTCCTGCTCACCTCCCGCCTTGGCCCACCACTCACCCCCCGGGCCCAGTGCTCCGACAACTCCCGCCACTTGGGGGACCCTAAATAGCCTCGACCTGTGCTGTCTGCCTGATTGCCCTCCACTCCTGGGACCCTCATCTCCTACTTCCGCCCCTCCCCCAGCCCTTTGCAAATCCTCCCAGTGGCTCCATCTCCGGAAGCAGCCAGCACCCCCACTCTGTGTGTCTCCTTCCCCTCATCTCTGGTGCCTGCACAGGGCTTGGTGTCAGGCTGGAGGCCAGAGTCTCGAATGCACCTGTCCTGCCAGCAATGGGCCAGTCTACACCCTGGGATGGCCCAGGGCACCCACATAGGCCCCAATAGAGGGTTCTTCTGTCCCCAAAACCTGCTTCTCTAGTCCTAACCACCCACCCTTAAATCCGAGAGCTGGACAAACTGTATCCAGGCCCTGGCTGGTCTGTTTTCGCTGCATCCTGTGCCTCCACCGGCCCTGAGGCTTTTCCAGCTTTTAAGTGCACACTGCGATTTGCGGCAATCTTATCAACTCCCAGCAGCCCCAACGCAGTAACAAGACGCCTTGTGCTCAGGTTCAAGGCTCACCGTACCTGTTTGAAATAGTATCCTGCTTTCAGATCGGTCTGAGAAAAGTCCAAAACCACTCATAAAATGGCCTAGTTAAACAAAGCTATTTTTAGGACGACTTCATGAAGAAGACAGTGTCTCTAAGAGAAACACCCAAATTAGGCCTCTGCAATGCAATGCTGGGTGCAAGGGGGTGGGCTGGGGGCAGCTTAAATTATGAAACACCTCAGCATAGCATCACATTTGGAAACTTCCATGATCTCACAGAAAAACTGCCGCGCCAAAGAAAAGACAGCCTAATGACTACAAAGGTTAAAAAAAAAATCATTAGAAGTGTTAAGGGTCTTAAACGTGACAGAAAAGGTTAACTGACAGTCAGGACAGAAAGCTGCCATCTGGACAACCTGCTGATGCAGTGTGAACTTTGCTGGGAACAAGACAGAATAAGACGTTAAACACAGTCTCGAACTTGAATCAGACAGCTATTCATCATTGGTCCACCAAGCCCAGACGGGCACCACAGCAAGCCTCCTCAGCTACCGGCATCATTCACTCATTCACTCACTCCTTCCATGAACGCTTCCTAGCCCTGGGCGGGGCTCCAGGATGGGCACGTATAGACACAGCTCCTGCAGATCTTGCTGGTGCCGCATATTTACAAAAGAAGAACGGAAACGCGAGCTGCTGAGTGATGACAACGTCTCCCTTCTCTCTGGAGCAGATCAGGGGAGCCGGCTGCAGAATCCGGCAGCTCGATGGGGAATGGCCTGGGCTGAGTGAGCAGAGACCTGAGCACAGGCTTCGGGTGAGGGTTCTTCCTGATTCTCCTGTGTGGTCCCCGATGAGCCCTTCCATTCTCTTTAATTCTGGCTAGTTTATCTTTGTCACTCAAATATTTCTTCTGCCCTGCTTGGGACTCCCATAGGAGTCCTCGGGATACTGCTGGCACATCTACTTCCGTCCCCCATGTCACTCAACCCTTCTTCTACATCTGCTGTTTCTTTATTTCCTGTTGCCTTCTGGACGGTTCTTCAGTGTGACCCACTGTAGCTGGACCATCCTGTAGTTTATCTTTTCTCTTTTGTTCCTTAGTTCAGTTATTCCATTTTTCATACCTGTTGTTTCCACTTCATTCATTTTTTGGTTATTCCTTATTTTTGCTTTACGTTGCTAGCACCCTCCCTGGTTTCCTTGAGTGTGTTTCTCATACTTATTTTGTACTCCCGGCCCATCTTGTCTTGCTTCAGGTCACAGACACTGTTAGGTTTGGGGTCTGTTTTCCAGGGGGGTGTTCTCTTGGGGGCCTGGCTGTTTTTCCCTGGGGGTACCAGCTACTCCTTCTGGCAATGTAAATGCAGGGAGAATAGAGAGGCAGGCCCTGCTGGGTGTCTCAGGATGAACTGAAGAAGAAAGGCACAGCAGGGGTTCAATGCGTTTTGCTGAGTGAAGGAAGGAAGGGGAAGGGATGACCCCAGGCCCCCAGAGTCCTCACTGATAACTGCCCTCCACCAGGAGGACCCTCTGGCCAGAGCTTGCCTTTACTTCTCAGGGAGAAGCAGCATTAGGAGGAGGTGGTCTCCCTGGGTGCAATTCCTCAGTCCTTGGGGTCTGGAGATAAGGGGTAGAGAGGTGGCTGCCTGGGGGTCGCTGGCCCACCCTCACCTGTTCTCATCCATTCTCCTTGCCAGGCCACTGCCAGTGGCCAAGGGGCAAGTACAGGGTCAGACACATGCCAGGGCTAGACAAGAGAGGGGTTCCCAGGGGCCCGGCTTCATCTAGTGGCTGGAAGGGCAAGGCTGGGACCAGCGGGGGCTGGGAAGTGGCATCCAAATCCTGGCAGATTTAGGGGACCTGGGTGGGCTTGAGAGCCTCCTCAGACAGTGAATGGTTTTGGATGTTCATCAGTATGCCTAATATCCAGCAAACAATGCATCATGTCCAAAAGATTTCAAGTCACTTATACAAAATTAGTCACATTGAAACAGGAAGGTGCCTTCTTGGCAGTCTGAGGCAATCCCTGGAAATGAATTTCAAGTTTTTCCATCTTCTGGTCAGTTTAACTTTGGTTACTAGGCAACTGCTAAACTGACCAAAATACTGAATGTGATAACAACTTCTGCACTTACCTTTCATTAGGAGAGTGGCTCTCATATTTCCAGAGCTGTCACACGATAATGACAACACCGCGCTCTGCTGTGAGACAGCAGGGCCATTCAATCTGGTATCCTGACAGCAGAGGGCCCAAAGGGGCTGCAGGGCCGGTTCACAGAACGACCAGAAACCACAGAAGGAGACAACGGAAGGAACCAGGGCTGCAGTGCCCAAGGAAAAGTTCAGATTATTACTTTAAAAGTCTACAGGCTTGTGATTCATTTTTCCAAGGGGCGTGCCTTTTAAAAAGCCCAAGAAAACACAACTAGCTGGGAATTTATTTCAATGCCATCGGGGCTTTTGAAGATGTGAAGTGCAGCCATTGGCACTTGCAGACCAAGATGGCGGGGCCTTTGAACTCATCTCAGAACACACCTGCCACTGAGTCTGTATGATCCACTCCTCTCCGAACTACTGCCCCTGCCCCCCACACAATTCATCCCACCAGACACACTGCCCTCAATAAGTAACAAAGAAATGCCTAGAGGTTGAAACTACAAGTCTAAATGCTATCTGGAAGGTGCAGTAATGAATTAAATCGCGTGAGCTTTCATAGCGGGTGTCAACAATATTCCAAAGGTTGTCCATCTTTTTCATTTTGAAGGCTCAACTACCACATCAGGATCAGGAGGCTGACATTAGTCTAAAGCCATTTATTTTCCAAAGTCCATAATAACCACACATATTGTTTGCTCAGCAAAACTATTTATTATAAAAATTTAGTTCTCTCACCTTTTTACGAGCTGACAAAACAGCTTTCAGTGATCTATTAACCTGCACTGCATTATGCTCCGCTCCGGCTTCAAACAGCGGATAATTTCAGCCCAGCCGAGAATATGTACCTCACTCAGTCAGTTCCCTACAGATCATTTCAGGGTATTCTCTGGGCTAGCACACAATGTTTACGAGGAACTTAAAGGGACACGGTCAAGGTCGACGGAAGGGAAATTACATCCACGCTAGAAACTGTATTTACTTTGACACCAGCATCCCAAGGCTAAGGGACGGCACCAGGGCAAAGCCGGCGCATATTTCAGTACCCAAACGATCAGACCCACATCAGGAGCTGTTACAACGAAGGACGTCTACAAGGCCGTCGCAACACCGTCCAGTGCGGCCTTCTAAGATCAGTGTGTCTCCTTGGACCCAAGTCAAAAGCCAATAGTCTCAATATGAGATTGTCAAGTTCTCGGGCATCAAAAGAAGAAATATCTAAAGATTGACTCTCTCTGCTTTAAAAAATTAAAAAAAAAAAGGCTCCTGTATGTTTAATAAAGTGAACGGCTCCCCTTTACCCGCTGCTGGT